CCCCCTCCCCCATGACAAAACCGCCGGCACTAATTTTGCCTCGCTTCCCTGCCACTCCCGCACCGTCCTCGTCTCGTTTTCCAGCAATTAGTACTTCGTCCCCCGATCACCGTAAGACACGACATGGTCGGCACATTGAAGGATTTAGGAGGGAGAAGGTCCGTCAAAGAATACTTCTCTGAAAAGTTTGCTGGAAGAAAATCAGAATACATTCGCGAATTAGAACTAAACGCCAAGAGTAATTCGTAAATTTAATGATCGTGTTAAAGGCGATATCTTGTCTGATAATTATGAATTTTCCTTTCCATACCGAATTCGATGCATTTGACGAGTAATGATAATTATCCACACCTCTTCCCGAATTGAATGTTAAGATAAACGCAGAGTCGCCACCTTATAAACTTAGTCAACTAAATACGACATCGCTACATTCGGTAGCCACTGTAAATTGGATAAAAAGTGAACAATTGAATGTGAACTAGATGTTCATTAACATCCGTCTATGAACAAAAATATCTTTCGGTCTTCGATCTAAATTAATTTAAATATCTAATCAGTAGAAGCATTTCACGAATCATTCGGAACGTTCCGATTGCTTTAAGATCAAAAGTTGTCCTCGGAACTGTTTACTTTTTCGTGGCGCCGACTTTACGACCTCACCACCCACCCGCCGCCACCCTATACTAAATCTCCGTTCACAAGCAAGTCGCTGACACAGCTCTGGGTGGAATGTGGCGTAATCAACACTCAAAATCAACAGAATTCGACCTCCAATTGCTGCACTTCCATTGCCGCGTTGAAAATAACCTAGTAGGCGAGCCTATAAAAAACACCAACTGGCTTGCCAAGAGGTTCGGTTTTCAAACCGGCTTGAAACCGGCCGCGGTAAGCGGGATTATCTCGAAAGATATCGGAGGGAAAATCTAGAAGGAAATAACGATTACTCCAAGCTCACAAATTAGTCTTCACTCACTAACCCAGGAACCGTCAGCTCCGTTCTCGTCATTGGATGTCTGGCTCGTGTCCTCGTGATTCCTGCAAGCGGTGCGAGCGAGGGAGGCCGGATGCAAACATGGTCGAGGTTGTAACGGTGGTCGGCATTCGGGCAGTCATAAACGATTCGATGCAAATAAAACAAAAACGACTCATCGAAATGAGTGCGCATCTCCATGCCGTCGGCGACGCACAGTGGGTCCAAACAGCATCGCAAATGCTCGTACCATATTTGGCAGGCAGTTCCATGCAAGAATTCCATTCCTCTCAGCAACCACTCTTTACAGG